CTGAAAATGAGCTTTCAACATTAAGGACTATGGGATACGGAGGGCATGAGTTGAATTTTCCAACTTGCTAATGTTTTTGACAAACATTTTAACAAAATGTTTACAAAAGAGCTGATGACAGTTTCTGTGTTTCTCTTATGGAAGATACAAGCAACTACAAATTCTGCTATCAAACCTTGTATTATATGTGAACTCATTCTTTCAGCAAACGCTGACTGTCAAATCTGTGCTATACAGTGCTGAGCAGTTTACCTTGATCCAAGTTATCATCTATTTCTTGGAATCTCACTCTTCGCTTAGATGGCTTCTGCTGCATTTGGGAAGGATGATTTTCTACGGTATTATTCCTCTTCTTTAAAATAGAGACCAATCCTTCAGCAGGAACAACCTGTCACAGATTATAAGAACCATTTGTTATATGAGATTAATACAAATCAATCATAGTTTACATACAAGTGTAAAAATTAATTTTAAAAGATATCTGAGTTTTTATCGTAGGTATATCCAGGTGCTAAAGAAAAAAAAATTATAACAAATTATCAAACTCTAATAGAATAAAGCTTTCATTTTTATGCAAGTGACTGTCAAGTATAGAATTCTAAAACATTGATTGCTTTTTCAAAGCCTTGACCCGACTGCAGGGACATGCAGTATGACAACATGTGCAGCAGGCTAGGAATCAAGAGACTTCATTTAACTTCTTTGCTTTGTAACCTAATTTGCCTGTAAGGGTGTCTGTAAAATGACCATGTATGGTCCTTCTTTGCTTAATCATTAGCATTGGGTTTTGCTCACTGCTTTTTAATTCACCAGCAATTTTTAAGAAATGAACAAGAGTTCAAAATAAGTGTTGTCCTCAGTTCCTCTGAGAAACTATCCATTTACTTCAATGATACTCTAGGGCTCAAAACATTTTAAGGATTTCTCTTCTAGAATTACAGGGTCAATTTACTAGGGACATAGCAGATTTTTCACTATTTGTGGTAGTTATGTTCTATAAAGTCACTGTGAACTCTGAATTAGAAAACACTAAACCACTGATCCTAAGGGAAATTCAGGGTTAGGTTCCTGGTAGCCTCTGGTCTTTTTTTTTTTTTTTTTAATTTTTACTGTGATTTGGGTAAAAGTTTACATAGAAAATTCATCTGCCATACGGTAGTTCATACACATTTTGTCTCATGTCTGGTCATAACATTTTAACCAACCGATTAATATACCACTTCAGTTTCTGTGTGTTTCTATTTAAAGATACATGCATTATGTGTCTTTAATATACATTGTTGATTCATTAACACTGAATTCATGATCAGGAATACTATAATTCATTCTGAATGAAGCTTAGCTAACACATATGTTATCTCTGGAAGGCACCTCACAGCCTTCTTGTGCTTAGGAACACAAGACAGCACTTTAGCACTTTGTTTGGGGTTCACTTTAAACAGCAAAATCACCAAAAAAAAGCACAAAACTGAAAAATGGAGCACTAAATAGACTGCAAGGAGCTCTGGTAGCATAGTGTCTAAGGCACTTGACTGCTAACCAGAAGGCTGGTGGTTCAAATCCACCAGCCACTCCTCGGAAGGAAGGTTGGGCAATCTACTTCCGTAGTGATAACTGCCTAGGAAACCCAAGGAGGGGTCGCTATGAGTCGGGGCTGACTCGACGGCACATAACAACAACAACAACAACAACAACAAATAGACTGCAGAAAGATATCTGTTTATAGTACTACAGCTGAAATAGCAAAGCAGAGTCAACTTGTTCAAACTCAACTGGGAACATGTGCACCAAATCTTTCACCACTCTACACGTCCATGATGACCATGAAAGTACGGTGAATACAGATTTTGAGCTATAATGAAATGTTATCGAATAGGTGAATTCACAAATACGGAATCTGCAAATAATGAAGATCAATTGCACTAATTTGTAGTATACAGAGGTTAGTAAACTATGGCCAGCAGCTCAATGGCCACTGCTTTTTTAGTAAATAAAATACAACTGGAATACAGCGATGCCCATTCATCTATGTACTGTCTCTGGCTGCCTTTGGGCTACAATGACCGAATTGAGTTAGCTGGAACAGACCATATTATAGTTAATGTTTACTGTATAATACCTCTTCATTCTGTCCCCCTAATCCCTTTCTACATTGCCATCTGGTTTTCACTTGGGCCAACTCTCTCAAGCCCACATCCCACCCCTTATTTAAAAAACAACAACAACAAACCTGCCATTTAGGAATTAAGACACTCCAAGGTGCAGAGAGAAAGAGAAAATGATGAGTTGGTAGATCCAGGCTGGTAAGTAGCAGACAGATTCATAGAAGTTAACTCATGAGTTGCTGCTTGCTACAAGCTGCTGGTGATACACAGGTGGGCACTGTGGGCCTAACACTGAAGATGTCAGTGACTTGCAAAGGGCTGACTGTACAGTCATTTATCTGATCAATGGCATAAAATATTTCATATGAATTCCAGTTTCAGCCATCCATCTCTGAAATTGTGCTATGCATAAATATTACAGATTCTATTAGTTCTTTTTATAACTCAATGCTTTTAGAGCCAAATAACTCAATATAGGCGTGGGCTTCCCTGAACATGGCTCCTTAGAAGCCATTAGCTTAAAAAAAAAAAAAAAAAATCAATAAGACGTCAGCAATTTATTCTTTTTATAGGAAATACGTATTTCAGATGATGTCCTTGTTCTGAGAAAACTAAATGAGTATCAGTTTTTCAAATCTTCCTGTAAAAAGCAGAAACATTAAAGAATCTTTTGACTTGAATCTGTACATTTGAGAAAGATACAACCCATAAATCAAGAGACAGTGCAAGTATACATATACATTATAAACAAACGGATACTGCAAGACTGAGAGAAACTACGGAGGTCATCTGAAAAAGCATAGACCTAGAAGCTACCCCTAGGGCAGCAGCTGCTAAGCCCCTGCCTGAGCTCCTGCTCAGCTTAATATAGGGTGCTTGGCTCTGGAAGCTCTGCTGTAAGTCTTACCACATGGCCCCACCTTATTTGCTACAGGTGACAATGAACCATGACAACTTTTTGAAAGAAGGAAGCAGAGTATGAGAGATTACAGTTAGGTAAGATGTTCAAATTTTTCCTTTGATCCCCCATCCCTTAATTCTTGGGTATAATACTAACTACACCCAATACATATTTCCGTTGTCTTTTCTCTCCTACCAAAAACCTTTTGTTTAAGCAGGAGAATGGCACTTGACTGCTAACCAGAAGGCTGGTGGTTCAAACCCACCAGCCACTCCTCAGAAGAAAGGTTGGGCAATCTACTTCTGTAGAGATACCGCCTCGGAAACCAAGAAGGGGTCGCTATGAGTACGGGCCGACTCGGCGGCACATAACAACACATCAACTGTGAAAAAATGTGTTTTCCAATATTTCCTTTCAGTCTTGTTCAGGGCTCTTTTCCAGGTTTTTGTTTCTTTTCTATTTGCCCTCTGGTTACATCTGCCTACAGATGGAGAATGGGGGATGGTGGGACCAAGCTAAGCACAGGAGATGTAAGCCAAGGAGGAAACTCTTAGGAGGCAGATGGGTATGACAGATGTGAGAATTCATCCTTTCGGTTTTTGCAATGGTTTGGGGGCAGTCTTGGGACCTATTTATAGCATAGAAACTACTACTCACCAAATCAGAACAGTCAGATATAAAGAGCTTAAGAAACAACTTTAGCAGACTGTCTTAATTTTATGGTAGAAGGACAAGTGACCCCAAAAGGCTCATAGTCTTGGGTTAGGGTCTCATTCAAAAGTGTTTCTAAATCAGCTGTGAAGTTGATTTAAAGGATATAGAAATGTGTCTCTTTCAAACTATTCTCAAATCCATTCCCATGTTTTGTTTTTTTACTTTTTTTTTAACCCTAATATCAATATTAAAAGGTTAAGAATTTTAACTATCTCGAAAAAATAAAGCTTTAAAACTAAATTTAGTTTCTTACTTCAACTGCCAAATTCCTTCCTTACCCAAACAAAATATATCCAGCCCTTCCATTGAGAGCAAAAACAACATCTAAGCTATAATTATGTAATTGTTAATGGTGATACTCTATGAATAACGGCAGAATTAAAAAGAAAAAAAAGAAGAAGAATCCATGTGGCCTGGTCTTCTTTACTTGCAAATGAGTAGTTCTTCCAGTAATTTCCCTCAAACATCAATGGCTGTCTTAATTAGTATTTTAAGAATGAACTGGTTGTAAAAGCAAATAAAATTATTTTGCAACTCTACTGGCATATTAAATCCTAATGTGATAAGGAAAACATTCAGAGGCATTGATGTTAGAAATGCCGTCTCAAAAAATTAAAGAGAAAATGCACACTAAATAATAATCTTTTAATAATGTAAGCTTTACTCAATCTGGAACCACCTCAAGGTTGGTTAAATTTTGAACAAGGACATATGCTTGGTTTCCAACTAACCTAAGAATTGTTGTGTTGTTGTTGTTGTTATATGCCATTGAGTCGGACCTGACTCATAGCAAACCCTCCTTGGGTTTCTGAGGCAGTGTTGTTGTTGTTATTTGCCATCGAGTTGGCCCCGACTCCTAGTGACCCCTCCTTGGGTTTCCGAGGCAGTTATCACTACGGAAGTAGGATTGCCCAACCTTCCTTCCGAGGAGTGGCTGGTGGGTTTGAACCGCCAGCCTCCTGGTTAGCAGTCAAGTGCCTTAGGCACTATGCTACCAGAGCTCCTTTCTGAGGCAGTATTACTAAGGAAGTAGATTGTCTCATCTTCCTTCTGAGGAGTGGCTGGTGGGTTTGAACATCCAGTCTTCTGGTTAGCAGTGAAGTGCCTTAGGCACTACGCTACCAGAGCTCCCAACTTAAGAATTAGTATTCATAAATCATATCACTATATTACAAATACCTTAATGCCAGAGACTTCACTGTCAAATTAACCACTGTTATTCTGCACCAAAGGAATAAGTGACATACTCTATCTCCTTTAGATTTCATTCAATAATAACTATGATTCAGTGAATGTGTACACCTTACATTAAGACACACACACACACATAAAATTCTCTTATACAGGCATGTCAGCCCCATTTTCCAGATGAAGAAACCAAGCAAAGAAGGCTTAAGTAACCTGCCTATTAAGCTCACAGCAACAGTAATTGGCAGTTTGACTGTGTGTCAATGGTTAAAGGGACAATCTGATAAATATAAAATAGGAAAAACAAATGGTAAGAATGTTATGATATCATCTCACTTTTTAATCCCCACTGTTCACTGTGCTCTAGCTGGGCTGGCCTTCCTGCTGTTCCTCCAATTCCTTCCCCAACACACTGGTTAAGAGAGCTTATTCCTCCACCCTACCTACGAGTTCAGTCTCCCTATATCTCCTTACCCTGCT